CGGGCTAGGGGAGGGATGGAGGAGGGTCGGAAATAGCGTCGGTGGACTTTGAAAACGATTGTGATGGCTTTTGGGGGGAAATAAATTCTAGAAACCGCAATGATGAAAGACAAGACTTATTGTCGTTTAAGCAACAACAACAAAAACAACAACTACTCTCTGGAAAAATTTTAAAATTCGCAACGATCGACAAATATGTATATTATTTTCTTTTAGCTTTAGTAAAAGTTTTACGCCCCTTGGAATACAAATTGGTTATACCTAAGTGCCGAAGATTAGATGAGTTACAAGAAAGTAACCCCCCAAAAATGAGGAGAGATAAGGACTTTGTGCGTTTGATAGGAATGAAGGAGCAACCCACACCTGAGCACCCGCTTACCACCCACATCCAAATATGGAAGGCGTTAATACAACGACGGGTTTACAACCTGAGAGGTGTCTGCGCCAAGCAAATGTTTCGGGCGAGGAGACACACGTTAAAGACACACCCAGATGGAAAAAAAAAAACCTACCAGAAATAGTTTCGACAGATTTTCAAAACGATTAGGACGGCCAGACGATTTTGGAAAAGTTTCCAAAGAGAGAGCATGGGCGTCTGTGCTCGTCTAGGTTGGCAAGTCTCCTAGAAACACAACCAATAATCTAGACATAACTTAAATGGGCGCTGCGGATTCCCAGGAAGCATCGACGTTTTAAGTAAGGCGTGAATGTGTCTCACTAAAACCAAAGACGCCATGTTCTTTGTTTTATGTTTTATTGTTTTAGTTAGAGTTTTACGGCACTTGCAACACAATAAGGTCACATAAGTGCCCAAGAATAAAGGTATTACAAGAGAGTAACAAACACAAAAAAGGAGGAAAGATCGAGACGATAGATGTTTGATAAAAAGAAGGAGCAAACCTCACTAGAGCACACGCCGACCACCCGCAGATCCCATGTTCGTTCAAAGAGAAAAGCTTTGTGTTTGTGTTTTAGTTGTTTTGTTTTTGCTTAAGAAAAGCACATCGACACAATAATGGCGATTTACTGCTGATGAAAAGTAAGAAAACAGACAACACGAACAGAGGGAAAGTAAAGAAGTAGGACC